AGATTTTACATATATATATTCATAAGTCATTGAAACGGAAATAAAATGAAAGTTGTGCTTAAAATCTTCTTTGTATATTCATGTATGGATTGTCATTCTGCGAGATATCTAGCGTTTTATTGAGATAAAAAACCAATAGATAGATTACTGTATTTTTATTATTGCGCATTAAGAATTACTTGAAAATTATTTTTAATTTTAAAAAAATATGCTAAAATCATTTAATATAATTAGACGTATAGTGTATTTGCACAGTAAAATAATGGCACATTCATAACAATGTAGTCATGTGTTAAAAAACAACTCCTTTTTTTCCTACACTACTTGTTTGCGATTTACTGTATCGAGATAACATTATATAGCAGTAAATCAACAATTATTGTTTAGTACCTACAAGGTATTATTAACCAGAAGGTTTAATTAAAATGGAAACACTCAGATTTGAACGTTTATTGTAAAGTAGTACATAAAAATATGAAATAGGTGTACGATGTGTAGGAAGAAAAACTCTAAAAGCGGTTTCTTTTTTGGCCAAAAGGCAGTTTAATTAAAATATGTTTCAATTAATGTAAAGAGACTACCCCGGAAAACAGCCATATAAATAATGCTTTTATTTAGCGATTTTGAAAGGGGCAGTCCCGTGGTCGTCGTCATCGTCGGTAGAGTACATATAAAGGCGTTTGGCCGACACATACACACATTATAACATCCACCGCGAAATGTCTTTTATTTTTATTACGTTATTTTTTCATTTTGTTTTTTGTTTTATTACTTATGAAAGGGGCGCCGACTGGCGCCGCTCCAGGATAGGTAAACATACAGGTACAACCAACGAAATTAAAAAAGAAAAAATAGCCTCCGCTGACGATGAAGAAGGTTGGTCTAATTTGTGTGAGCGGCTTGTCAAAAAACATAATAATGTGCTGGTAACAGGTGTAAAGTTATGAAAAAACATTAGTGCGTTGTCTTTAAGTAATGCTATTCTAAGCAAAACTCACACATTAATGCACATGTAAAACTAAGCTCACGCCTACTAAACTAATATATGAATCATCACATTGTTTATTCAATTGATTAGCGTTGAAATACTTTTAATTATTTATGAATACTGATTTTTGGACATTTTAAATAATCTGTTCATTTTACACTTATTTGCAAACATTTATGATAGTTATATTATTTTAAAAATTACAATAATTTGGGAAATTATTCTAAAATAATTGAAACACGATATTTTAAGTGCATTAATGTATTGAGTTGATTTTATTAACAATTCGCAAACAAAATTAAAATTACATGCATTATGACGTCATTTGAATTATACATACAATTTTTTTCTTAATGTGGATGAAATATACAAATTATATTTTATTTCATTATCTGTATTCATAAAAAATAATGTCCGAAATTTCACATACATGTACTGGAAGTTTTCAACTAATACAATGTAAGGAAAATGTTGAGTAATAGTGATAAAAATGTTATATTTGTGTACGAATTTACATTTTAAAATTAACTTTATAGTAGTTTCTTATAGAAAAATGAATTTTAGTTATTTATTTTATTTTATGGAAAAAATGATTTCATAAACCAGAAAATTTTTCAGGGTTTGAATCTTGATTATTTTATAGAGAGCTATTCTTATTTAGCAGGTCTGCTCGAAAGGGTGAGCCAGGAGGTGCCATTGTACCCTTAGGATTTTCCGTGTCACATACATGTATATATAAATTAAATTTTTAATGCATATAATGTATGGGAAAATTTGAAAGATTGGTGAAAAAAATGTTGTATTTGTGTACGCATTTTTGATACTTAAGGCCAAGTTACTCTACTATTGTATATAATTAACATGTATATTAAAAATAAACTGACGTATAGGTTTTTTTTAATCATTTCTATCAGTGTAAACATAGTTAACAATTCTGTTAATTTGCATATCAGTTTTTGTCAATATAAACTAGATTTTACGGCAACCGTTACTAACAGAATTCTAAAAACCATAAGCATTATTTAGAGAAGGTCGGCTTTGTACCGTGGATAGGTAAATTAAAATGTATTATCTGTTTATTTCTTGACTTAGGTATTCCAAACATGATATAATATAAGGAGGTGTTATGAAGTAGGTATATTACTTACTTTATAATCATTCTAAAGTACCATTTCAGTAAAAATTTAGATTGTCATATGAATTTTTGGGGAGGGAATTATGGCTCTCTACTCGACGAGGTGCGGTGAATCGTTCCCATGACTTAAATTTTTGTCGATAACTTATACACCCACTACAAAATTTTTCTGGAGGCGTCCTTGATATTTAGTTACTTGCATATGAGAAGATGGGACAAATTGACATTCTTAAGATTTAATCTCTTAAAGAAAGTATTCACCATTAAAATTTGAATTTTTATGTAAATACTATTTGGTGTATTTAGATCGATTGGTAAATAGCTCATTAATAAGTACTAATTCATTAAAAATAGTAAAATTCGTCATCTCGTCTTTAGTGAAATTATTTTTTTAGTGAGGTGATATAATAAAATGGTATTATTGTTTGTTTAATATAAATAAAAATATTTTCATAAAAAACTCGTTAACATTACCATATATTTTAAATCTAAGAAGATCAACTTGCCCCGTTTTCCCTTAATAATAATTATTATTGTATATCACATGTTTAATTTTATGTTATGTAGTATATATTGATTTGAAAAATAGACTACCTAAAATTCTATTAATTATGTATAGAAATGAGGATCAAAAATATTTTAAGTATAGACTTTTGCAACTATTTACATTTGGCCATTTATTTCATAATCATCATTAAATCATGATACTATCTAAACCTACAATTAAGGAAACATATAATTATCAAAACGTAATTAATTCTACTTGATAGAATAGTCTATATACTTACTATTAAGAATTACTTATTATTATTATTATACAATTAAAAAAATTGCTTAATTACTTTCATGTTAATTAATTATTTTATTTTATTATTGACTGAGGAGATCTGAATTTTCACTATATACATACTAACGATTAGACATGAACTTAGTTGGTAATGAATCAAAGTGTTTTTTATGAAATTATTTCATTTATTATTCAGTAGATATTTACTCCTTAATAATTAAATTGAATAATGTCAATTTATTAATTATTAATGAATTTACAGAAATTTAACTTTTTAATTCAAGCGCAATAACATTCAGTTGCAAAAAATAATAACATTAGAACAAGAGATAGATCTAAAGATTTAAGGTACATTTAACTTAAAATTAAAAATGAAATATTAATTATAAAATATTTTTCATAAAAACAGTAAGAAGCAAGAGAAAAATAAATACCGACAATTTCTTTACGATAGTATTTATTTCAAATTGAAAAAGGTAGACAATGAAAACGAATTGCGGCGTTTTCGTATTATGTTCGTATAGGCAATAAATTTGGCATTGGAAAGATTTATATGTTTTGTAATGCTGAACATAAGCGGTAGGTACTGCGCTACAAAAGGCATTCTGAGCTAAAGATTCGTTTTTAAATTTAAAATCTATACGAAGTTATTAGTTAAAAGGGAACATACTATTTCGATATATTTGTTGTTGTTTTTAATTGCTTCTCAGTAATATTATTTTTCTTGTAGAAAAAAACCTTATTTGTATAATAACGCAATATCTAAATGTTTTTCACGATTGTTCTGTTTATATTTTTACTATTTTATAAACAACTTTATATTATTATAATTTGGTTCAATCAAGTTGTAATTTATGGAAACTTAACTACTAATTAGTAGGTTAAGTCGGTTGGTTTTAGTGTCGTGTACAGGAGAGTTAAACATTTTTTTTTCTTGTTAGAGACAAATAATGATAAATATGCTTTTAACGTAGTACAAAACTGTAAAAATTATTGAAAAAAAAAGTAACGCAAAATACTTGCTATATCAAAAGTTATTAAAGATGTCGAAACCTGATAATATACACCGTATATACGGTAATTCTTTAAAAGTTTTGGCCTTCTCTAAAAGACTTACCGTGTATGTGAATAACTAATATTATATTTATAACTTAACTCGTTTGAACAACTGAAAAATAATAATTTAGCTGTTCTAGCATGTTTTTATTTGAACTAAATTCGTTTGCAAAATAATGGAAAGCATTATCATTTCGAAACCCTTGTGTAATACTGAAAAACTTCTAACAAAAAAAAGAGAAGCTAGAAGGCCGGATGTATTAAACGGTAACTGGAGTTTCTGTAATGCAGGAAGACTCTTCCCAAGAGAGCTTTTACTGGTAATAACATCCGGAGGTCAACCGTCTCTTCACGCTCAGAAATGAACACTACACACATTATTCTTTGCTTCCCTATTGGACCATTGAACCCAAGTGTATTGAAGACGTAGTATCCTTCCCTTCTATATTCCAAATATCAACGATTGTCCCCAAACTACTTAACGTATTGTACAAATAATACATTTACACTGTGCAATGTTTACTAATGTATAAGTAAATAATACAGTTATCATTGCAATTTATTCACAGTTATGAGTAATCTAATATTTAGATGTATGACTAATTTTTTAGTTTAAATAAACTTACACGTAACTCTCTTAGTTTTATATGAATAAATTTATCTATTAAAGGTTTATTTGTCTATTCATCTTGCAATATTTTTTATGACCTCGTCTGAAACTATGAATAAATACAATACAATATTGGCCGCCGGTCATACTTAATTGACAAATACCTTTTTATTTTTAATGCTCTATGCCGCGTGGGCGATACCAAGAATATTTTTGAAAAACCTAAAACGCATTTGATAAGTAAACATGTATTAAAAGGTTAAATGCTGATATATAGAATTAATATCATTTCAGATAGGGGGTTCAACTTCTAAAGTCATCCCTGTTCGCACAACTGCTACTATTAGCTAAAAAAAAATCATAGTATTATTTATCTTTGAGTATTTGGTTATCAGAAAATCAAGTTAAAAGAAAACTACGAGTATTAAGTTATGCATCCATATTTTTATTTTTGGTAAAAATGAATTATTTAAATAATGATTTATTATTTTTTTTTAAATGTAAATGGAAGTTTACGACCTGTGTCAATTTTTATTTTACTGCTTTTTATTTTATTTAATAGTCTTACAGATCCAGTGTCTTCTTTCTCGTATTCGTAATGGTAAGTACCCTTTGTGGAATCGTACCTATCTACGTATAATTTTGTTTTTTTTTTTTGTATAGACCTAGTTTTGTGATAAATAATTTGACATTTCTTTTCGACGCAAACCGCATTTTGAAAATTAAACAAATCATTACGAATGTCATTTGAATAGTGAGCAAGTCCAAGTAATTTACATTTATGTCCATTATTGGAACATAAATCAATTTTATCTAAAAATTAATATCTGTATTAATTCACATAATTTATGAAATTTATTAAATTTGTATCAATATTTGATAATTGATTTGCTAAGTTGATTCTTTATCGTTATAGTTTTAAAATATGATAACAGTTTTTCTCTGGACTAATTTGAATATCAGTTTACACATTACATTTATATAAACTTATTTTTTTATTAAGTTACTAAATAATCTACTTACTTATATTAGTATTGATAACAAAACTTTTTAATGCCAAATTATATTTTATTAGTAATAAAATTAACTACTTAGTAAAAAATATATTTTTAGATTTCAGTCATAGGAAAATTTATGAAAAAAAATTATTTAAAACATTGAAAGTCACGAAATTATTGAAGTATTAGACCAATGTAGTAATTACTGGGTCTTAAAAGTATACTTTTGGGGCCACTAAAATTGTTCGATATCCTTTAAATTACATGGTGTTTAATGATACATTCTTGCTAATTATCGTGGAACTATGTAATATATAGGAGTTTGTTTTCGGTCGGGTGTCAATATGTGTTTAGTGTTGATATGGTAACATTTATTCACGATTTTGTAATGGTTTTTATAGGTTTTTGAATTTTTAATGTTTTTAATATTTTTTAATTTTATATTATTTTTTTAAATATAATTTTAATTTTACGTATTTTTATAAAATTATTACCGGAATTTTCGAATAAATAAGTTATGACATTTTTGATTATATCCCTTCTATAAATTGCATGATAATTATAACCTAGATTTTTCTTTTCTGATTCTGTAAAATGCAATAGTAATTTTGAATAAATACTTGAAATAAAAATAATTTATAGTATAGAATAAAATATCGGTGTAAAATAATTTATTTTTATTTATTTACATTTATCAGAAAACGAATATAATATAATAAATATTCTAACCTTGATCAGGTTTAAAATTAGAAATATTCAGGTTTGCTAAAAAAAAAAGGTTGACGTAATTTTTATAAGATATAATCCAAATGGTTTTCAAAAGTAATAATATATTAATTTATTTTGGAATATCAAATTTACGACTAAATATAATTTGTAATGTGTATTTATAATATTGATACTACTTACAATAAATATTTACTATTTCTAAACGGAATTTATTCTCCATTTCAACTCGGTCACTTGGTCGCATGCATACAACTATTAATGTTAAATTATATTATTAAATGATTATTTTACTATTTGTGTATTAATATGACTTGCATTTAATAAAACAATTTAAAGCTTTATTTTACTTTTACCATAACGTTTTATTAAGTCTAATTGTACTACACATTTTATATGGAGTGGCATATTTAGACAATCCAATGTACTTTAAAATGAAAAAATGGAAACTATTCAAAATCTTAATTTATGCTACCCCACCCATTATAAATTCCTAGATACGCTCCTGACTAACATTTAAAACATTTTTTATGATGTAATATACATTACGTATATAATATACGTGTTGTATCCATTCCCTAATAATTTTTTTTTTTAATAATGTTATTATTAAATACACTTGTTTTTTTTGTTTTATATATACATTTGTTTGGTACAGAACGTCTTTAGCAAAGATCTAGTAGATCAGTTGTTACAAACATCGTTGTTTGTATTATATCGTGTGACAGCTGATCTCTAGCGTCTTGCTTTACTCACCCCCTTGCCCACTCAGCACGCAAAACGATGACCTCCGTGTCAATTGTCATCCGTGTACAGTTCATCGTCGTAAGTCAGTAAGTGTTTTTTGTTTTATGTGTCATTCTCTTCTGTAGCAAGCGCCTTCGTTTGAATGGTAAATGGTTCGGCCATTGCACGCCGTTATTCTTATTATTTGTTTTTTGCACCTTTGTGCTCAAAGTTCTCTTGCCCTTGTACGCCACCAATGATTGGGCCCTGACCATCACTAAATACCTTCATTGCCGCCGTTTGTTCTCATTTGCCATTACGTGCCTGGATCTACACTCTGACTCGGATACTCAGATGTTCGACACCATCAACAACTTCATCTATTCACCTGAGTTGTTTTACATTATTTTTTAATGTTATTTATTATTTGTTTAATTGAAGTTAACTATTTTGTTTTATGCCGCTTCGCCGGCTATTAGTTTTTAAGGCCTCCCGCTACCCTTTAAATTTAAGATACTCTCTGAAGAATTTCGAATATATGTGGTTATTTAATTATTGTCTATTCTCGTTACTTATTGGATGTACCTTTAGTCATCATCCCGCTTCAATAATTGAAACATTTAAACAGGCTTAAGGTAAATCATTATTCTAGTGCAGTGCTCAACTAGCCGTCCTATGGACTAGCTGCCTTGTACAAAACAATATTAATATTATACAAATGTTTCATAACATTTTTTAAAATTGCTATCTGAGTTATCTCTGTTGAACTATATAGAACATAAAATAAAAATGGAGTTCTTATAATCAAATATCATTAACAGATTACTGTACAATTTGTATGTTTGTAACTATTTAAGTTGTGGGAGGAATGTGTTAGTTAACGAAATTCAAACTTCATGGTAAAAATAATGCTATTTTAATCGTAAATTATTAGTCTTTAATTATTTTGTATTATAATAGCCAATACTTACGTGATGGATATATTTTTTCTCGCATATGAGCTGAAAAGGAATTTATAAAATATTAAAAGGGGTGTTCAAATAAGTTAAGTGCACAGCAGAGCGTAGTGTATCATAACACAACTAGTAATTCGGGTAACTAATAATTTATTTCATGTTTTGAACCGAGCCTGGTTTAATCTTAATTTAAAATAGACCAAACTGGGTCGAATCAGACTAGATCAAACATTGAAAATAGAACATGTACGTTCGTACTAATTATTAAAAAAAAAATCGCACATTCCATAAAAATTACTTCTATGATCACCCCTGGAGTGAAATTATTTGTATAAATGTGTAACACAAACGGGTATATCCTTACCGTACGGTTCGTTTTGCATCCTTTGTATTATTTTTTCTATTAATGAATTCCGATCTAATAATAAACAAAATTTTAATAATTAATATTTAATTTATAATACAATAATAACTCTTCCTTTACTAAAATTGTTTGTCCTTTTGAGGTTATAATAATTTATTTGTACCATCAGAATATTAAAATATACATAAAAATAATACTGTAATAATATAGTTTATAAGTCAACAAATTATATTGAACTTAATGCACACATAGGATAAACTTTATCATTAATTACTAAATTTCTTGTTAAATAATAATAATTTTGAAATTTTTTTTTGAAATATTCTTTATCGTTTACAAAATTATCAATTTTAATAAATTTAGTTGCAATATATATTTAATTATCTTAAATGTTAGAAAATGTTCTAATGAAGAAAACAACTGGTCTATAACAACTTTTTATCAATAGTTCAGGAGTTATGAATATTTTTATACCTGGTCGGGGAGAGTTGCATGACAAATAAATGAGTAATGATAAACAACTAATATCTCATTCTTAATAAATTCACAAGTGTTAATAACTTCAAAAATACTTGTTCAAAAGTTGTCATTAACAATTTTTCTTATTTTAATCTTTTTATGTTATATTAGTTAGTTAAATAGGCATATAATCATAAAACAATATCGAGTTAATACTCTTATTACAATTAAGGGATGATTCTAAAAAATATTTGACTTTTCATAAATCAAGATATTTACGAAATTAATTCAAAATTTTAATTTTAATAATAAAAAAAATAATAATATTATTATTATAATTATTATTTCAAAATAATTTCAAATTTTACTTTACACGCTAAACAAAACTAAAAAAAATATTTTTTAAATTATAATTGTTTTGGAGAAATATAATGGCTAAAGAGAAATCAATTATTTTTTTATAAAAAGTACACACCTAAATCTTTTAGAATTTATAAAATAGGAAGCTATAGTTTTCTTACCATAATATAATTATGAGTGTATATTTTACCTTCATCGTTTAATCCGTATAATATTTTATCTAAAAAAAATAAATTAAATAAAAAATAACACTCTTCAACCAAAGTCGTGTACTAATTTAAGTAGTTTTTTTTTATTCTTATTGGTTTTATGACACTGATTACTGATTTATCGTTAGTTTTATTTTATCATCAATATTATGTTCTATATCCACAATTTGAGTGTTTTTAATATCTCGGTTTTAAAACGCAAAAAAAAAATGAAATAAGAATTTATGAAAAATTTACAGTAATGATTATAAAAAGTTGGTGGCGTTAAATAATGCATATAATATCTATGTGGCATAATGTATGGAGTTTGATTTGATAGAAAATATTGAATGGAAAAATTTAAATTCCTATCCCCAACTATAAGAATAAATAAAAAAATTATCTTAATAAAAACAATCTTTTTATTGTTCATGTCTAATTTTGTCTAGTTGAATAAAACTTAACAATTGTTTCTAAACAAAAATTAATTTGCAGTTGTTTTTAAAGTTTCAATGTTATACAATGTTTCTTACTTGTCCATGATATTTGAAACGCAGCATCTATAGACACAATTTTATGATATAATTATTAGGTATAGCATTTTTAAGTAGGAAGACATGAAAATCTAATTAACATAATAAATATTACCTTCTATGGTAACAGAAGTAACAGTAGAAAGAAGTACAAACCAAATAACCAAAATGAAATATCCAATTGTAATTTTTCGGCAAAACATGGTATCTTAAAAAATAAAATTTTATCATAACTTAAATAGTTTAGCTACGATACAAAGGTGGAAAAATGTTTTTGTTTAAGCTAGTCTTATTGCAAATATATAAGTTTATTAGTTGTCAAATATATTAACTAATTTTTTTTCTATTTTACCACCTACATAATAAAGTAAGAAAAGACACTTAAAAATATTAACATTAAGTAAGAAATATACCTTGAATTATTTCACGTTAAAGTTATAAATGTCATGAACAAACTGAGATTATTATAGTTAAAAAATTGTATTATTATATTAAAATTATATTCAATATATTTTTTTAAATTAAAAACAATTTTTGTCACTAAGAATATTTACAATTTTTATTTTCTGTATCATTAAATGATATATTCTTAGTTATTAAAAAATAATCGGTAAATATATTTATATTAAATGAAAATAAATATTTTATAAATTTAATTTTATCTACTTATAAATAAATTGAATGCTGTTATTGTGTGGAGCTCAAAATAAGGTTTTTTTATTTCTGAAAAAAATTTAAATCTTTACAACAGTATAAACCAAATAATAAAACTTTTTCAAAAAACAAAATTTAATGTAATTTTTGTAAATAAAATATTAATAAATATATCAATTATTTTAAAACCACGTAATTATACAGGGTTGTTATAATTTAAATAACTGCTTATTTAAAAATAATATTTTATTTCTTTAGTTTTACATACATTTCTCAATTTACCAATCATGAAGTATTTATTGTGTTCATCCCCCATACTTTATAATAGTGTGAGGTTTATTTTTTACAGCAACATACATAATTAACTAGTCGATCATTAAATAATGATCTTATTAAAAAAGTGACTGGTAAATAACAACTTTTGTGCCAATATTCCAGGAATTATTAATAATTTAAAGTATAGAATGGAGGTGAGGTGCGGGTGCTGCTAGTTTTTTACAAAATATTTCTCGGCCTCACTTAACCTCCCGCCAAGGTATAATTAAGTGGTTCATAATAAAAGAATAACCCTGTATAAACAAACCTTGAAATTTATATTGATTTTAAAAATTTGATAATAATACTTATAATGTTTCTCAAATGATTCATTTGTTCAAAGAACATTATTACAAAAATTTTTATTTAAAAATTAACATATGATATTTTTATCGTTTTATAAACTCATACACTATTTTCGTAATATAATGATTAGTTTTAAGATTATAATTAACAACATAAATATTAATTTTCTTATTATGTTTATTCCTTATTTCTTTGTATGCAACATAGCAGCTTTATTGCCTTTATACATTACATTATGTATAGAATATTTATATTTAGTTAGTATAAAATGATTCAGTCCTATTAATCAACACATTTTTTTATCATAGTTGTTTCTATGATTCATTTTGAATTAGATTAAAAGCATGATTAATGAATTTACACTTAAGAACGTAATTGATTAAACTGTTGGTCATTTTTTATTGTTTGTTATTTGTGTCAACATATGATGTATTTCGTATTGAGGTTAATAAATTTTAATCGCATTTAATTATTAGTCTTAAAATTATTGATTGAAACTCTGTAAATTTCATTTACTAATATATTTCTTTTTATTACTGTAAAATCGACTGGAGTATACATTATAAATATATATCAGTACGAGATATTTCCACCCGCACAACTTGTCCTAAAATTTTTATTGACTTATTCAAATATTTTGTTAAAAAAGTTCTAAAACGGCAATTTTTAAAAGTTTTACAGATAAAAATATACATAAATAATAAATTAAGTGTTTTTATATATGGCACAAATAAAAGTTATGTTTCAATGACACTTAGATAATTATTGCAATATATTATTTTAATAAATTTTAGCGAATGTAAAAAATTGCTATGTTTAAAAAGTTTTATTATTAATTGATTTAGATGATACAATTATTTATTCAGATGTTGTTAACTTGATAACATTAACTATGAGCGTGTATTTAACATTTTCATATTAAAAGCAAATATTGATTCCGAGTGGGATTGAATTGAATTTAATAAAACAATAACAGTGACAACTGTGCGATACACGTGATATTTGGTATAATTTACCAATCATATAAAAATACTTTTTATGTCAATTATTCATTCACATAAGTTTTTTACATACATGTATCATAATTATTTTTATGTTCTTAATGCATGTTTTTTTAAATCATTGTTTTGCTACCTAAGTACATGTGTTGACCTTGAAATGAGGTCGAGGATAACCAGTTTTCAACAAATAGAGTTCTATTTCACTATATTTTGAATAATTTTTTACTAAATCTATTAAATTACCAGCTTTAATATAGTTTTATCAAATACTGATTCTGATGTGCATCAATAGCCAAATGCTTATCAAAATAAACCAATAATTATTATATTTTTATTAGTTAAATAATACCGTGTAATTTTATAACAGGCGTATGTTTTATATTGAATTATATGTAGAGGTAAAAAAATAAATGTAATAAAATAATCAAGAGTCAGACAGAGTTTGAAGTTAGGGATCAAACTTCGCGTTAACGGTTGATATAAGTAACAACCTGGATTATTGACCTGAAGCAAATATAATTCCAGACAAGAATCTAAACATGATTTCATTTTATTATGCACCAACGGTGTACTTTATTATAATAATTGTTGGCTTCAGGGGCTGTCGAATTGTGTTTCAATGGAAATGTATTGTAAATCAAAAATACCAGACATCAAACTTTGTCAAACAAAATAAAGTTACTAACGCATAAACTACCAAAATTATTTTTTTATGGGCTATTGTTAAAAATAATTTTCTATGCATGTTTTTAACACTTAACGAATAGCAATGATATTACAATTTTTCTTATATGAAAATACCATCAATTCTACAACTAATTACTTATTAACTAGTATTACGTTAATGTAATAACGAAAATAACCGACAAGTTATTATATTATAATAGTTAATTGTAACTAATATGTAATTTATTTTAATATAATTACAATAACATAATTTATATGGAAATCCAATACATGATAAAGTTATAATTTCTGGGCAATTGTATTGCCTTAAGCAAAATCACATGAAAGGATTCGACAATACATTAATGCAGTTCACAAATTTCAAGATTTATTGTGTGAATTTTTTATAATTTTTATTATTTAAAAATATGTTTAACCCATTCTGCTAATTGTTTTGCTATGAACCCCGAAAATATGCAGTACGTAGACGTCATATTGTGTATAGATTCTAACTATGTATATCGTATGATCCTCATGTATACAGACCAGCAGACGTGCTCCGTCAGATAATTATAGGTTATATGCGGCCACAGATATGTTCGCCCAATCTTTGGCCGTGAGAAGAGAGAGGAGACTTTTTTTTTATTATTATTGTTTGATTTGATCATATACGTGTACGAGGTGTAGAAAAATATTTTTGACAGAGTCAATGGTTGAAATATTTTAGAGACAATAAACTGTATAAATGCACCTTTTTTTACAAAAATAATAATATACTTTAGAATAATATATTGTTTTATTTCAAAGTTTGGTTTCAGATTATTTTTAATTACTTGTTTGTATTTATCTCAATATAAATTGTAGAAATGGTCATCGATATTTTCACGCGTGTTTTATGAACAAGTAAATTATTTATTAAATATTTTAATCGTTTTTTAAAATATTAATTAGTAACAATAGGTTGAGTAAAATTGAGTACATGAAAATACGGGAAGAAATTATTAGTTTAGAATAATATATACCACGTTCTTTTTATGGTATTATTCATATTTTAAAGTAAAAAGTATAATATTATAGTTTCCAAATAATAATAGATTCGAACTTACACACAAATACGTACAAGTTATTTCTTCGGTAAAAAAAATAAATAAAAAGTCATGGTGGATCTTGATTGGAAAAAATAATAAATTAAAAATATTTAATTAAAACAAAAAATAAATTAACCAACAAATGTGATACACGATTCGGATACAATCTTTATGGTGGGATTGTTTTAATATGAAGATCTCTCGGTGACGTACCGAATATGTATGTGAAGGTATAATGTAAATGGGTGGAGATTAAAGAAGAAAATAACGCCTTCCGCTTATTTGGTGTAATAAAAAGTAATACGTACCGCAGTTTATTCGTGCTTAGTTTGCATCTAGATATCAAAAATAAATATTACCTTGTTAGCAGGCATGTAACTTAAATTGGAAAACAGAAGAAGATTCAAAGCAATTCTATGATGCTTTGCTTTTGGTAAAAATCTATAAATAATTATTTTATTTATACAAGTTATTACAGCCGAGAGTTCAAAATAGTACTCAAGTATTAGTCGTCTTGTATGATGGATCACTCTTTTTTTATTTTCCCTATAGTTGAACAATTATACTTTTGATTATACAGGAAATGTAAATGACAAATTGCCCCATTGCTTATATAACGCTGTAAAGATAAAAAAGTGATGTAATTTTCTTTTAACGAATTTACAAATCAAACCTTCAACAATACATTTTTTTAACTACGCGCGTATTACCATTTAAAAATGACTACGCGCATCGTTCCTTATTTATTGTGTAAATCATCAAGGAGAGGTGTTGTCATTTATGAGTGACGTCGATAAATGATGACCACGGAAGGTAAAAAAGTATACAACAGCGTATTGAAGGGTTGAAAAGCGATGAGTTAGTGTTGATTGATGTCGTCTGTTTTGAACATTTAATTGAGTTTATTAATATTGCCTGCTGTACATAGCGACCGTTTATTTCATCTAAACGTCAAGCAGTTATATAACAAATGATTGATTCCTCTTGCCAAATTATTACATAATTTTTACTGATTATAATGTCATCAATTTTATATGTATTTAACATTTAATCGTGCGTAATTATTATCTCACTATTTTACAACAAATCAATAAACTTCAATTTAATTTGATTCTATTATTCGTGAACAATGATTATAACTACAAAATCAATTATTTCTTCAAAAATATATAAAAATGATCATCATCAAGAAGTTTGTACTTACATAATAAATTGTTTTTAAAACTATATATTTAAAAACTCATCTCTAGAGTATAAATAAAAAAATATTTAAAAACTATCGATTATATATTTGGCTATTTACTATATTATTTTGGACTAAATCAAATAGCACAGTGCATGATTTGTGTACTGTATTTGATAATAATGAAATTTTTCAAATTTCATCGCGTTAAATATTAGATAGCGTCAGTACCCAACTTCAGGACATTACGACCTTGTGTAATGTATCACCTAAAATAATTGATATACGTTTCAAAACATACATAAATATGCTTGTGTGTTGGAAATAATTATAGGGTATGCCTACTCGTATAAGGGTATAAAAAGCCTCATGTTTTGTACACCTTTTGTTGCTTGCGTGTACGTCTATTCTATATCCGTTGTTTATTAAAAATAGGTTCATCTTTATGTTCTTTCTCCAAGAAGAAAATGTTGGTGAA